AAAAGGTTTTTTTAAATGATTACAAAATACTAAAGCAAATTTCTTACCTGACCATGTTTCCTTTGCAAGTTAAGATAAATAGTACTGCTACCAAGAGCTTGTCAAAAATGGCTTTGCAAGTCATCTGCATCTTTGCAAGCAAGCTAACCATTAGATGCAGTCACAATTAACAAACACAGACAGTATAATGAAGACTGGTCAGCACCTTGCCTCCTTGTAATTTTTATTTATTTATTTGGTTTTTCAGATTGAAATCTTACAGCCACATATCCAACAGAAAAGCTAGCTTCCAAGGAATCTCTTGGACTTCCCTCCTCCCCTTTGTGGGTCCTACTGTTAATCATTTCCTCCTGCATCTTTTATAATAATCCAGATCATTTATCTCTCCATTGTATCCAAAATTCAGCACCTTGCCTCCTAATCCAGGCTTCCTCAACCTCAGCCCTCCAGATGTTTTGAGACTACGATTCTCATCATCCCTGACCACTGGTCCTGCTAGCTAGGCATCATGGGAGTTGTAGGCCAAAAACATCTGGAGGGCCGGCCGAGGTTGAGGAAGCCTGTCGTAATCCTAATTGCAAACCACAGAAAATGTTTAGCCTTGAAGCAAAAGTGCCATTTTTTGAAACAAAGGGCGGCTATTTTTAAATATGCAGTGAATATGGAAGCATTGTGCCTGAAATACCATTTTGGGAACAGTTTGAAATGGATGTTTTGCTGAAGGAATGCTTCAAGCCCCAGCTCTTACATTGGCTCACAAATCATAATCCTCCTACCCTCCTACCCTCACAACCGACAGCCCTGTGAGGTAGGCTACTCTGAGAGAATGATTGGTTTAAGGTCACCCAGTGAGCTTCAGTGCTAAATGGGCATTTGAACCAAGGTCTCCTTGATCTAGGTCCACAATGTTAACTTCTATTACCTGGGTTATGAAGGCGCCTTAAAGACATTAAAGCAAAGATTATGGGATAATACACACAGTGACTTGCGATCTCGATCACACGCAGTCTGTAGTCCGTTGGCAGTAGGAGTACAATATGGGCATGTCTTTAAGTTAACACCTTACATTAAAAACCTGACAGTACCAAATTATCGAAGGTTATTCACCAAAGCCAGACTAAATGTCTTTCCTTCTGCAGTGTTGGATGGCAGGTTGAGAGGAGTTCCCTACCAGGACAGACTTTGCTCGTGTGCTCAAGACATTGATTCTATAAAACATATTTTGCTGCACTGTGCGAAATACAAGCAAGCCAGGGCTGAACTGATATTACCCTTGCTGGTACCTTTCCCAAGAAAATCAGAGGCTTACTATATCAGGTATTGGAAGACCGACAAACGCTAGAACATTAGCAGTGGCGACGTTTTTATCGGTGGTTGCAAGAACCAATGATCCCTATCTTTAAGTCTGAAGAAAATGCTTGTTTAACCTGGAGGTAGGCTGTCTGAATTGTGCATTGCTTTGTAACAATTTGTTGGGTCTCTGGACCGTAATAAAGATTGATTTATTGATATTCCTGAACTTCAACCATCTCCAGCAATTCTTGCCTCATTTATCCAGCTCACTTGCGCTCTGTCTTGGCTCCAGAACTGATCTTCTACTCCAACATTAGTTTCTGCACAACAGGGACAGGGAAATCTTGTTCCTCCTGGAGTCCTCACAGAAGACCTTCCAAGGATCACCTGCTAGTGGTGATTGGACCAGGGACAAAAGTGGGGGAGGCAATGGATGTGACTCTTAACTTTGTACAGTAGGCTACATTCCAGCCATGCAAAATACAGGTTTTCACCACAGGCAAGCAAGAGCCATCACCACAGTTCAAGGACAGAGGGTGCAGAGATGTTGGTGTTATGGCCAAGGTAGAGACTTCACCCACTAGCTGAATATGTGGACAGCATAGCTGCTCTGTGCATTGGCAGGGGAGGCGAGGGTTATCCTGTACCATCCACGACCTCCTCATGCATGGGAGGAGTCCTTCACTGAATCTGGTCATTTGTCCTTCAAGCTCAGTATTGTCTGCACTGACAAGAGCGAGCTTTCGAAGGTTTCAGAAAGGAGTCTTTCTCAGCCCTCCCTGAAGGTGTCAATGATTGTAACAGAGACCTTTTCCATAAAATGCTAAGATGAATAAAACATTAAAGGGAATTAACTTTCAGGCAGTTTGAGCCTAAGGGCAGACTTATGCAACTCATTTAGCACAAGGATCAATTGTAATGATTTGATGAGTTCTGGGCTTGTGTTGTTTCACTGCTGCAAAGCTGGAGTCTAGCTTGTGGGTGGAACTGTCATTATATGTGCATTATTTTTTTGCAGCTCAAGGACCACGTCCCCTTCAAAGGGCCACTGGTGGATGGGGCCAAAGGAAAAAGCGGACAGACAAATGTAAACTTCTCCTTTGTGGAGGAGGCTCATTTCTACGCACACTCACCCCTGTCGACAATTGTGTTGCAGCATTCTGAACCAATTACAGCTTCCAGACCGAGAGCAAGGGAGGATTCACACAGATTGCATTGCAGTAATCCAATCCTGTGTTGGGAGCAGAGATTGAAGGATCTGTCAATTTCAGCTTGCTAATTTCCCCAATCTTAAATTCAGTGCTATTTTTTTAGAAAAAGAGGTGCCAGAACTCACCGTGAATGCCTCCCTTGTTCTCTTACAATGGCAATGGTGCCCACCTGAGAGGTATCAGAACTAAATTCTGGTGAGTTCCAGCTGAAAAACAACCACTGGTTCTTCACATTTCTGCAGCAATTTCTGATCCCCCCCTTTTTATAATATAATCCTCATAAAAAACCTTCAGCACTTTCATGCAAAAAATTCCTCTTTTTTTTTGACAAGCAATTTCTCCTCATATAATGCCATTTTTGTATGCTATTTTTGCCAGTATATTCATTTTAATACACCCCCCCACCCCAATATGTACATTTTTGTAAACATTGGTAGATTGGAGAGCACTTAGTTTGGCTAAGTGCATATTTTGAAGGATGGCTGTGTTTCATTTCTCAAATTATTTTGGTAAGTGTGAATTGATAAATTCATATTTAAATGTGAGCTGAACTGAATTTCTCTCCCATCCCTAGTTGAGAGTAAACCTTAATTTTTGTTTTTCTTTCAGCCTACAATCTTTGCAGACTATTGATACATGGGCTCCACTGCAATATAAATACTAAACACCAACATATTGAAGTTACCTGTGCCTTGACTACTGTGGCAAAACTCTCCTACTCCATCAATATTGTACCAGCAAGTGTTGGTAAAGGGTACTCCTAGCTGAGGGTACCCAGGCTTTCAGTGACAAAGCTGGATTCAAAAGCTGCCTCTAGATTATGTACCCACTCTTTCACTGGGACAAGACAGTTTGGGCATATAACACTAATCCTGGCCTGACTGCACTGACTGCAAATTAGTTTCTGGGCCCAATTGCAAGTACTTAAATGACTCAGGACCATAATACCTCAAAGTCCATCTTTCCCTTAACCTGGAGCTTGCAAGCAGCATTTGAGACCTTTCTTCATGTTCCTCCCTCCATGAGAGGTCCATAGGATGGCAACATGAGAATGGGCCTTTTCTGTGGTGGCTCCCTTTGTGTAATGCTCTTCTTAGGGATTCTCACTTGGCACTTTCATCACATATCTTTAGGCGCCAGATTAAAATGCTGCTCTACAGCCAGGCCTTTGGCTGACTGAACCATCCATAGCCTTTTAAATGAGTTTGGGGGTATTGTTTATTAATATCATGTTGGGCAATTTGTGTTTTTATGGGCTTGTTGGGTGAAAGGCAGTATATAAATGTAATTTTTAAAAAGAAATGGGAGTGCAACTGCATTCAGGACAGTCAACTGGCCAATTCTCAAGCACCAGAACCAGCAACCCCTAGTAGCTCCATCCTGCCAAGATTCAAACTCAGTTTATTTCCCCTCAGCCATCTCACCAGATGGTGAAATAAAGCTGGGTGTCATCAGCCTTCTCATGGCACCTTGTGGCCCCACCACTTTCCTGAGGGCTGCCCCACACCTGGTGTTGGCTCTCTTTAAAGTTGTGCACTCACTTTGGGACCAAACCCCACTGAGGACAGGGGGACCTCCGTTCCAAGCTGTACATCCACAAGGTCAAGCTGTAACCTAAAGAAGTTTCAGACTGATGTGCAAATATTCCTTAAGCCAGTGGTTCTCAACCTGTGGGTCCCCCAGATGTTGTTGGACTACAACTCCCACCACCCCTGAGGTCTGGCCTTGCTAGCTAGGGGTGATGGGAGTTGTAGTCTAACAACATCTGGGGACCCACCGGTTGAGAAAGGCTACCTTAAGCTGTTTTAAAACCTAGTAAACTAAACGAAAAATAAAAATTCTAACCCTCCAGCTCCAGATCAATGTTGTAATTCATGGGAAAACATAAATTTAGGCAGTTGGTTATATTATATTCCGGAAGCAATGGTCTCACAGGGACCCATCGTTAATTTATTACAGCTAATCCTTCATTTGCTTCGGCCTGGAGCAAAGCAGAGCACGTCCGCCTGCGCCTGGGGATCCTTCTGCGGCTTATTTGGCAGAGTGGCGTCCTGGACCTCCAAGGCTCCAGAGTCTTGCCCTGTGCCGCTCCATAGCCTCAATTCTGAGCACGCAGCGCTCTCCGATCTCCGCGAGGTCAGTTCTCCGGCTGCTTTGCAGCCTCGCTGCGCCCGCTCGGAGCCGCGTTCCAAGCGCCCCTCTCCGCCCGAGGAAGCGTCAGTCGCGCCCCTCCTGCGACTCCCCAACAAGCGCCAGCCAATCCTCGACGAGCCCCGGCGCTCCGGGAAACTTTGAAGGACGGGAGGCCGAGAAGACGCTCTTTCTGCTCACCGATTGGCTAGCGGCTCGGAGGAAGTCTCCAATAGGAGCCCTTCGCTGCTTTTCCCAAGCTCGACTTTTCGCTCCTTCCTCGCCTTCTTCTAGACGGCAAGGTTGCGGCGCGCGCGGCGGGTGGACGAGGGCGTCTCGCTCTCAAAAGTTTCACACCTTCGATTAAGCGCCACCCGTTTGCTCTTCGCTTCTGCTGCCTTTCTCAGACGAAGGACAGATCCTCGTGGAGACGTCTGGGCAATGAATAAAAGGCGAGCTGGGGCGCGGATCCTGCTGCAGCCCTTAGCTGTGAGCGCCGTCGAGCAAGGCTGAGAAGTGTCCCGTCCCCGAATTTTAAATTTTAAAGGAAATTCCCTGCTTTTCTAAGCCTCCCGCCAGGAGCGTCCGCTTGGTCCGGCCATGCTGCAGAGGATCGCCGTCTGACCCGCCCCGTCGCCGCCATGCGCTCCCTGAACATCACCCCGGAGCAGTTCGCGCAGCTGCTGCGCGACAACAACGTGACCCGCGAGCAGTTCATCGCGCTCTACGGGCTGCAGCCGCTGGTCTACATCCCGGAGCTGCCGCGGCGCGCCAAGCTGGCCTTCGTGCTCACCTGCGTGCTCATCTTCGCCCTGGCGCTCTTCGGCAACGGCCTGGTGCTCTACGTGGTCAGCCGCCGCAAAGCCATGCGCACCGTCACCAACATCTTCATCTGCTCGCTGGCCCTCAGCGACCTGCTCATCGCTTTCTTCTGCGTCCCCTTCACCATGCTGCAGAACATCTCCAGCAACTGGCTGGGGGGTGAGTGGCAGAGCCAGAGGGAAGGAGGCGGGTCTCCTACTTCCAGGGAGGAGGGAGAGGGATGCTTGACCTCCACTTCATTCCGACACACCACAACGATTCCCTCCCCCCCAAATTAAGGGAAATGTTGGGGTTCTTTAATTTTAAAAGAACAAGTTTGTAGTCCTCATGGAGATACAGAAGCTTAATACTTTATAAGTGATCAGTGAGTGCAGAGGAGAAGAAAGCGGATTCATAGTGGTGCAAAAATAAAACTGCTAACACCTGTGCAAAGCTAAGCTGGGTCAGGTTTGGTTTCAGGGGACCATGTGTTGAGATTCCTGCATTGCAGAGGGTTGGACTAGATGACCCTTGAAGTCCCTTCCAACTCTACAATTCTATGAGAGATTGCTGTGCAAGCAGCCACAACCATACACCTGGGCCTTCCAAGTCAGGTTTGTAAGTGGAGGGGCTATCTAAATGTGGGGAAAAGTTTTGATTACCTTTCCTTCCAGCATCATTTATCCTCAGTCGCTTTAGGGCAGGGTTGCTTAACATGTGGGACTCAAGATAATCCCCACTCCCATCATGCCTGCTCCTTGTCAGCACTGGCGGAGCTGATGGGAGTTGGGGTCCAACAACACCTGAAGAGCCACAGTTCAGTCTCCTCTGCTTTAGGCCAGTGTTTGCAGATCAAGGCAGTGTGGTATAGTGGTTGGGAGTGTTGGACTAGGACCTGGGAGACCAGTTTTCAAATCCCTGCTCAGCCATGAAACTCACTGGGTGACCTTGGGACAGTCAGTCTCTCAAGCCTAACCTCCCTCACAAGGTTGTTGTGAGGATACAATGGGGCGGAAGCATAGGGGCCAAGGTCCCTTTGGGGGCCCCCAATAAAATATTTGAGGGAGGCACCCCCTCCCAGTAGATGGGCATTGTCATTCAAATAGTGTGTGTGCACAGTCTTGTGACTGATTATGAGGGGCAGGGTGCTTACCTGGGTCCTCCCAATATTTTATTCAAGTTGGCACCCCTGGATGGAAGAGAGCTGTGTGCTGCCCCTTGAGCTCCATTGGGGAAAGGTGGGGTAGAAATGTGATAAATCGATCTTGTACCAGTGTAGTAAAGTTGTCTATTTAAAGACAGTCAACAGCTACTAGCCACAATGTATATGTTCCACTTCCATTATCGGAGGTAGCGTGTATCTTGACACCAGTTGCAGGGAATCACAGGTGAGTAGTGTTGTTGTGACCAAGTTCTGCTTTGGGGCTTCCCGCAGGCGTCTGGTTGGCCACTGTGAGAACAGGATGCTGGACTAGATGGGCCATTGATCCAGTTGGCTCATCTTATGTTCTTGTGTCAACTTACAGCAGCCTCGCATGCATTCTGTTGCTGAATTGCTTCCATGGGTGCATCTTAGAAACCACCCATAAAGCTCTCTTGACTGGGGAATCAAAGAGTTGGAAGGGACCCTGATGATCATCTGGTCCGAGTCCCTGCATTGCAAAAATATGCAGCTGTCCCTTAAGGGAATCAAACCTGCGACCTTGGAGTTATCAGCGACATGCTCTAACCAACTGAGCTAGTCCTAAGAGTTAATCATGCTGCTTGATTTCCTATAGCAGCATCCATAACTACATTATCTACAGTCCAGCAGTTAATTCTCCTTCACAAGTTCCATTTAGAAGTGTGTGAGAATGCAAATCTTAGCAGAGTGTGGTCATAGTTCAGACCCAGCTTCAGGAACAGACCATGACATTACTTGTAGTTGTACTACAATTAGGGACACTGATTAAAGAACAATATATAATGTACACAATATATGTGAATTATAACTGCGGGGAGCTGATGGACTCCTACAATTTGCATTGTGATTGAGCGTAGTGACTGAGTGTTCAAAGCACTTCAAATATTATCTTGTAAAGATAACAATAACCCTGCAGGTATTACTATAGTTCTGCAGATGGGAGACTGAGGAGGAGTTGCTAATGAATTCATGGCGGAGGTAGGATTTAAACCTCCTAATTGTAGCTGTCTTAGCTGCTGTGCCACATCAGTCCTCTCTCCCCAAAAGGCATGTAGCTCCAGTTTTCTAAAATAAAATAATAATTCTAGCATGGCATCATCGTTCAGGCCTTTTTCATACTGTGCACTAATAAATACAATAATTATGTCTTTTGCATTTTATTATGAGATTGACAAATAGGAGAATGCACAGAGCCTCCGGTCTATCCCAGATGTTCACAGCTGCAGTCTTCAATGAGATTTAGGAATTTGGCATTATTGTGACAATTGCTGCAAGTACTAAATGTCACCAACAGAGCATGGAACTATTCATAAATGACATCAGTGTTGCAGAAACATAAGCAAACGCCAACAGTAAAGTTGCAAAGCATTGTGCTTGGCACTCGTATTGTTCATCCATGCATGTGTAGTCAGTATCCATGAATTGGCTTGCGCCTTAGTCGCAGGGCTGTAAGGAGTTACACAACTATATGGCAACAGTACTCTCCCAGCTTGTGACCCCCTGCAACCAGCATTCAGAGACTGAACGTTTGTGCAATGTAAGTGTTTAGCATGTTTAAGGAGATATAACAGACCAGCTCATAACTGAGGCTGAAAAACTACATTAATAAGAATAGTGTAATTATTGCTTTTCCAAAAGTGTGACACTCAGTTGGATCCCCATCGCATGTGTATTGTTATGAGTTTGGGGCTCAGTCCGGATGATACCTTGGATCCCTCGCAGTCCATGGGATCCTGAATCTGTGCGGGTAGAATGTGTAAGGGGAACTTGCTAACCAGTTCCTTTGTCAAGGTAATGGCTTTGGCTGGCTAGTTAAGGACCATGATTTTAACATATCCTAAAAAGTTACTGTGTGCCATAGAAGAAAACAGATGGCCCTTTCCCTCACCCATCTGGAACCAGAATTGCTGTGGGTATGAGCTAGAAGCTGGGAGACAGACAGACATGTTTTGCTTTGAGCTGAATCCAAAGCTGGACTTGGGGTTCCCCTGGAAACTGAGAGGGGAAGCAAGGTCTTTTGGATTATTAATGCTGCGAGACTCTCCAGCCTAATGCCCAGATTGCATATAAATAAAATTATATTGCCTAAAGACACCACACATTCCTAAAGACACACATTCATTTCAAGGAAGCCAAATCCTTGGTAAAGCAAAGACACCCCTAGACTCTCTCACTTCTTGGGGATTGGGGTGGTGTGTAATAGTATAAAGTCAGCTTTGGCGTTTTGATGGTGCCAGCACCTTGCTGTCCTGTCATTATATATTTTGCATAGTTTCACGTGCTACTGAGTTTCCAGTCTGATACAATGATCAGTTTATCAGAGCAATGAGTACAAAGTATCTGAAAATCACAGTGAGGGGCAATGTATACAAATTCAGAAATACAATGTTTTTCAAATTAGGAAAACAGACTTCCATGCTACTAAGAAATAACTAGACCCTAGGTCAGAAGGTTGGAAGGACATAGCAAGCTGGTGGAAAAGGGAATTAGTCTATTACTGCTGCTGTCACTGCCGATTAGTTGGCAACATTACCCAGCTTGCATAGTGTAGACAGGCTGCCTTCACAAGACTGAAGTAGCTTTGATTGACAGCAGTAAACAACATTAATGTTTCAAGAATTAGGAAATGATGCTTAGAATCAGTGAGAGTCATTGCCACCAGCGGAAAGACTAGCCAAGCTCATCTTGAATTTTTCTCAGTCCTTGAATTCTCAGTCCTTGAATTTTTCATGCGCTTTTAGGAGGAACAAGTGGGGGTGGGGTCAGGGGAGTGAACTAGCAACAGAGCAGTGGGGGCTTGGAAGCAAAACCTTTTGCATTCCACTGCCCTTTATTGGCATTCTCTCTATGTTTCCCTCTTTGAATCAGGCGTGGATTTTCTTCTTCTTCTTCTTTCCCCCCAGCAAGGGCTGTTGGCCTATAGAAAAAGTAAGTGGGAACAAAACTGATGGTGGGTAGAGAGGGAAACAAAAGTGGGTAGACTTCACAACAATGCAGGATTATATAGCACAAACTTTCTCATTGCCATCATATTTACAGGTCATATAAAATCAGCCTTGTGGCTACAGGTTCCTCACACCAGCTTTACAGCTTCCCCTCCCTGTATAATCATTATATTTAGTCTTTAAGACAGCAACGGGGAATCTGTGTCCCATGCAACTAATTAAGCCCATCAGTCCTCCCCATTTGGCCCAGTCTGTTAACCTTTCCCATCACTGGAGGCTGGTGGGGCTGCATGGGTGGAGCCCATGAGGTCACATGAGTAGAGCCTAGGAGGTGGTTCCTTGTGAGGTCCCCTTGCAAATTGATAGTGGACACTTAAACCATACAGTTGTGCAAATGCTTAGCACCCAAGTGTCTAACCTTGCTTCAGAAGGTGTCCCTGTTCACACACTTGCTTCTCTGGAATCATATCTGTGGAGGAAAAGCATTTGAGGAAATCTAAGCATCACGTCTCCTCTCACAGTTTCCCCCCTTGAAAATCACCCTCTGCTTTTGCAACTTTGTGACTGTATGTCTGACACCTAGGATTCTGCCAAACATATTGTTACCACCTCAAATCTTCAGTCTTACACCACTTTTCAAGCAAAGTCTGCTAGAGTCTGTATATTGTATGAAAAGCAAACAAGGCTCTTTACAGTGACAACTGGTATCACGGTTCTGCAGGAAACAGCATGCCTAGAAGCAAATTTGGCATCATATGTTTAATGGAAGACAAATGCTGGAGGTAATGGAATATTAGTACTCCCACTGTTGTTCCAGTTACTAACAAAGACAGTGTGTGTAGAGAAAAACAAAAGCAATAGTAGTGCACATTATATTTTTTTTGTTGTTTAAAAAATTGTATACCACTCATTTTGTAGCTGGAATGCACTCTGGCAGTCTAGCTGTTCGTTATGTCAGGTTTAGATTTCCAGCCATTCTACAGACTTTTAGTTGCATGTGCCATCATTTTATTCAGCTTTTAACCTAAGAACTCTGCTGGCTCTGAATCTGTGAGAAACCAAGGCATCAGTTCAAGGTCAGTTGCAGCAAAGAATCTGGTAAAGTGTGTGCAATCGAGGCCCCATGTACACCCTTCCCTGTCACCCAATATGGTTCCAGGTTCTTTTTCTGCAAAAAAACAGATTTTGCAGAACAGCTCAAATACGGATTTTTTGGAAAAGAAAATTAAATACATTACAACATTTGTGGATTCCAGTTAGATAAAAATCAAAGAAAATGGAACTCACAGTTCCAAAAAGGAGTAGAAAATTGTGTGATACAGTATTAAGTTTGGGTTATATTAAGTGGTTTTGTGTGTGTGGTTGTTTTTTAAAAAAAAAATTCATTTACAGTGCATTCCTATACATGCCACGTTGAATCCCAGCTTGGGAGAAAGATGGGACAGAAATATATTAAATAAGAATAATCATGTTTACTTGGAAGTAAGTGCCATTGAGCTCAGTGGAGCTTTCTCCCAGATAGAGTAGGGATAGGCTTGAAAGCTTTGTTGCAAAAGTCAGAGACTGCTTTAAAAATAAAAGCCACCTCCTTCTCTAGCCAGCGCTCTCCCCAGATTACAATATAAGCATATCCAGTCTCCAGAATTAAATATTGTGTTCTGTTGCCCCCATCTCTCACAAGCAATAGAATAAGCAAAGAAAAACACATCTCTCCCCTCTAAGCCAGCTCCCTTCGTTATACAAGCCAGTTCACAATTATCACTCTTTATGTCTCTTCCCCAGCCAAGGACAAAACACCCCCTGATGTAGATAAACAATTTCTTCTCCCCCCTTTACAACAGAAAAGCAAGCTGTTGCACGAGGGACCCCAACCTTTTAAAACAAAAGAAAGACCTTCAGGAACCAAGAAATAAAGGATTTTTCTTTTTTGCCTCTTTGCCTGCACTGAGGAAAGTAACCTGGCTGGGCTGGTACTAATGTCTTGCTTTCTCACGAAATAAATGTATTTTTAAAAATAAAGAAAGCTGAAGCAAGAACCTAGCGCACCCTCTCACAAAAAAGGTGCACACATCCTGCTGTTTGAGGAAAAAATGTGTACCAACAGGGAAGAACAAACAGCCGCATGGTGGCTTAGGAGGGCAGCCACAGAGCTCTATGCACGTCACAGTCCATGTCTGGTGCATCAAGGCCATGCTCCTGAAAGAGAAAACATGAGATGGTTGCTTGTGTTTAACTAGTCCCTCTACTTGGGAGGCAGGGGTCGAAGTCTACTGCTAGTTTTTTAATGGCTGGCTAAAGCAGAGAAGATGGATGGAAGCCTCTCAGTAATTGGAACTGTATTGATGTTATTGCGTGTGTCAGAAAAAAGACTGGACCATGGTTTCGGAGGTTTGAGGGTGTTTCCCCCTCCCCTGAAACTTCACAGGGCTACTTTGCCCATGAGGGGCCTCCCCTGCATATGATGTCAGGCACAGGAAAGGTAAAACTGTAGGGCTAAATTGAAAAGGAAGAATCGAGAACACACTCTAAACATGTTAACCCTTCTTCCTTTCTAGCCACATTCATCTTTTTTATGTCCCACGGAGGACCTTATGGTCTTCAAACAAAAACATCTTGGAGATCCTGGGCCACAGGGAGGTTAGGCTGGCCTCAGAACAGAGCCAGGGCTTTTTCGTCTGTGGCCCCAATCTGGTGGAATGCTCTGTTACAAGAGACTAGGGCCCTGCGGGACTTGACATCTTTCTGCAGGGCCTGCAAGACAGAGCTGTTCCGCCAGGCCTTTGGCCAAGGCACAGTCTCACCCCCTCCTTTGGTAATCCTCATAGAACTCTAGCCCAATGGTTGCCATTAATTTGATTCTGAACTGATTTTAGAATGAATTGATCTTAGAATGTGTTTTAATTAATTGATTGTGATTTTATGTAAACTGTTACTTTTACTATTGTTAGCTGCTCTGAGCCCGGCTTTGGCTGCGGAGGGCGGGATATAAATAAAATATTATTATTATTATTATTATTATTATTAATTCAGTTTGGCGCCTTTTCTTGTCACTGGACTGTGACAGAAAAGGTGCCTGATTCAAAAGGTGCTAAATTACAGTTGGAAAAGAAGAGTATATCAAGGTGGGGGGTACGAAGCTTTTCTTCCTGTTTGGATACAAGCAGGTGATGTCCCTCACTTTAAGGGTCCTCTGTAGGGGATTTTACTGGGACGTGGGTGGCGCTGTGGTCTAAACCACAGAGCCCAGGGCTTGCCGATCAGAAGGTTGGCGGTTCAAACCCCCACGATGGGGTGAGCTCCTGTTGTTCGATCTCAGCTCCTGCCAACCTAGCAGTTCGAAAGCACGTCAAAGTGCAAATAGATAAATAGGTACCGCTCTGGTGGGAAGGTAAACGGCGTTTCCGTGTGCTGCTCTGGTTCACCAGAAGCGGTTTAGTCATGCTGGCCACATGACCCGAAAGCTGTACACCGGCTCCCTTGGCCAGTAAAGCAAGATGAGCGCCGCAACCCCAGAGTAGTCTGCGACTGGACCTAACTGATGGGAGTCCCTTTACCTTTACCTATAGGGGATTTTACAGAACTTGCCTTCACAGTGGCTTGGTTAAAGTGTAACACCAAACTATGGTTTGGTGCTTTGTGAAGAGTCATTCCCTCATTACTTCCCTTGCGCACTCCAATTTAATCTGTCACTTTGAACTAGGGGGCAAAGTGTAACTTGCCTAGTTCAGATGTAATGGCAAATGATGGTTTGTGCTAACCATCATTTGCCCCAAACCATGATTGCAAACCCAGTTCAAACTACTAAACTAGAATTGAGAAGAGAAATTGGGGCACACATAAGCACTGTGCTTGTTAATGTAATACCAAATCATGCTTTGGTGTTGTGTCTGAAAAAACCCCATGAGAGAGAACAAAGCCTATTTTTTAATCATCTTGTATGGAATATAGTACTGTCTCAATTGCTATGCAGTGAAAAATGTTGGAGAGAAAAAAGCAGCTTTATTCTTAAAAATCAAAACCTGGTATCTTATTAGTCTCTTTGTGCTTGAAGACATCTTCTTTTAGTGATTCCACAGCTGATGCTTCTCAGAGGAACTAAATATTGTTCTCAGCAACTGTAGCTGAAAGATTGCTTGTGCCCTTTACCCTCCAGAATAAGAGATAATCCCCCAAAGTGCTTTAAATACTGCAGCCATTTATAAAAGCAAATGCCTCTGGTGTGTTTATGCATATCTAAGGTGATCTGAAGGCAATTTAGGCATTGTGAGAAGTGAATTGACTGTCAAAATCAAAGTTGTCTTTGAAATAAGCTGCTGCTTATCTCTGTTTACTATATTGGGGGAAAGCTTAAATTGTATTTCTATGGTTGATTTCAAATGCCCGCTACGGTAATTGCTATAAGCAGTGTATATTACAATGTTTAGCTGGTGATCTAGCATGAGGTTGAACACCAGATATCACCCAGCCCTACTTATAAGCCTGATGGCATAGCCTGTCTCTATTTTTCATGCCTTTGTTTGATGCTAGGGACTTTGGGAAACTATTATTGTCTGAAAAGCAGGATAAAGGCATGGTAAATAAATCTGTGAAGAATTTGTAGCATTTTCCTGTGAACAACAAGAATAATCGTTGGCATCTGTCTGTCTCTCAGGAAGAGTGCACCTGACAGTTTGGGTCAAACCGTCAGAGTGTTACAGTGCCTGCTATGGCTGTATGGGACCAATATGGGAGAGTCATGCTTTATCGCAAGTGGGGTAGATGAAGGTGGCCAGTTTTGCTGCTACAGGCGTATGATGGTCGCTGCTGCATATGCATGACCTGACTGTCTGTCTCCAGTCACTGTGATCATCTGCAAGGAGTTCCCATACAGTGCGGTAAATGTTGCCAGCCTTCATGCCGTGTTTGAAGATGTCTTTGCAATGCAGTGTTCGAGCGCCAACAAGCCTAGTGCCTGAAGCCAGTTCCCCACAGAGTATATCCTTGGGGATCTGCTGAGCAGAAGTGTGTACATACTGGGAATAAGGGCTTGGGAGAGCACGTCTTTATTTTAGACTCTGTCGTGCCTTTTGATACCCAAAATCTTGCTGATACAATATATATGGAAGGTGTTGAGGTGTTGCTCCTGGCAATTGTAAGTTGCCAACAACTCACTTCCATAAAGCAGTGTGCTCAACACGCAAGCCAGGTAGACCTTCATCTTGGTATTGAATGTTAGCATCACATTCTCCCATACCCTTTTGGAGAGGTGAGCCATTGCCAATGCTGCCTTGGCAATACGTTTTTCCACTTCAGCATCATTGGAAAGGTTGGTGGCTATGGTGGAGGCCAGGTAGACAAAAATGTCTTCCACCTTAAGCATGTGGTCACCAGTTCTGATGCATGGAGTGCTGGCGACGTTGTGACTGAGGATAATGGTCTTCATCAGGTTGATGGTGAGGCTGAGCTCCATGCAGGCTTAGGAAAAATGGTTGATAATGCTATGCCAGTTCCACAGATTGAAGCAGTTGAGTGGGCATATATGGGGTAAAGTGATCTCATAGGTAAACTGGATCCAAGTTGTGTACTTGGCCTGGTAGCAAATTGGCAACCAGTGCAGATCTTTCGCCCTAAGTGCTATATGCTGATAGGTCTCAGTCCTGTCAGCAAAGGTGCTGACTATGTCATTGTGTTGAAAGGTTTTGCATTAGATAATGTATTTTTAATAAAAGGCGAAAGATTTATACGATCTGAGGTGAAACCAGAGTATTAAATGGGCACAAGACGTTGGACACAACATTATGTTTGCTGACTGGGAACAGTTATGGACCACAGGTATGAAGTTTACGGCATGTAATGCCTTAAGAGAGAATATTATGAAAATGATATACAGGTGGTACATAACCCCAGTTAAGCTTGCAAAAATCTACCATTTGCCTGATAATAAATGTTGGAAATGTAAAGAAACTGAAGGTACATTTTTTTCACCTTTGGTGGACGTGCCCAAAGATTAAGGCTTTCTGGGAGATGATATATAATGAATTAAAAAAAGGTATTTAAATATACCTTCTTGAAGAAACCAGAGGCCTTTCTCCTGGGCATAGTCGGCCAATTGGTGTTAAAAAAGGATAGAACTTCCTTTATGTATGCCACAACAGCAGCAAGAATACTCATCGCAAAGTATTGGAAGACACAAGAGCTACCCACACTGGAGGAATGGCAGATGAAATTGATGGACTATATGGAATTGGCGGAAATGACTGGCAGAATCCGTGACCAGGGAGAAGAGTCGGTGGAAGAAGATTGGAAGAAATTCAAAGATTACTTACAGAAATATTGCAAAATTAATGAATGTTAGAGTGATGTTGGATTGAAATTAAGTGGCTTCTAGCTGTACAGGCTTTAAAATTATATATAGATCAAGATTAAGGATTAGGATTAAAAAGGCTAAAAGAATGGAAAATTGGTTTTTAATAGGTAAAAATTTAATGTTATATTATATTAAGATTAAGGATTGGGATTGGGATTAAAAAGGAGGGAAAGGAATTGCTGGACAAACAAACTGAATTGGAATACAAAAGAGGGAGGTATGAGGAGGTCCGAGAAACAAGTAAATGTAAAAGTAGTGATGAAAAGATGGAATTGTTTTTAACTGTTTTTATTCTTTTTTCTTTTTGTATTCTGTATTGTGTATTTTTCTTTTTATTTTTAAACTCTTTTTTTATTAATGTGATTCTTTTCATGTGAAACTTTAATAAATATCATTTTAAAAAAAAGATAATGTATTTTTAAATGGTTTATACATAATAATAAGTAAAATATAATCAGGTTTTGATCTGTGGGTTCTGTCTTTTTAATGCAATTTTATTTACTTCTGATGGGGACTTGCTATATACCAGTTACCAATCTTGACTGAAATATCTTCGGGTGATTTGTCTGAGGTTCTCCCCTTCTGTCTAGCTTCATTATTTAATAACAGAACGGCATTATTAAACGCTTAACGTTTATTGACTTATATTTACAATGGGAGAGTTCAAAAATCCATCTACAGATGGATAATTGGCTCGGCTTGCTCTGAAGTCAAGTGATAAAACAAATGTTGCTCCAGTTACATTTAATGAGCTGTAAATGCCATCCATTACACATCAGATGGGATGGGTGACTGAGTGACTCATCAAAGTTTAACAGCAAGGGCTTAATGAATTATATGTTTTTACTATTATTAAAGTTTCTCTTGGTTTACAAAAGTACATGCCTTTTCTCTTTTCTCAAGTTGTACAGTCTTTTCTATAGATCAGTTACATTTGTTAGGAGACATTAGTGTTGAGTATAGTATAAGGTCAGGAAGAAGGGGGGAAGGAGGGGTGGTGGTAAAATTTATATTTTTTGCAGTGTACGTGGGGGGTTTCGTGTCAGCGGCAGGTTCTTGTTCTATTCGCTTGTTATGTTTCTGGTTGGGGGACCAGGATATGGTTGGTTGTCTGTGGTTGGTTGCAGTGGGGTTTGTTTTCCTTTGGGGGTGGAGGACTTGTTGGGTCATGTAAGCCAGACTGATTTGTATGCTGTTGGTGGGTTCTTGTTGTTGTCTTTTTGGGCTGTGTATGTGATAAAGGGGAGCTATATTGGGGTGAGGCATCTTCTATTTGTCCCCGTGTCAGTTTTGTTTTATTGGTTAGCTTTTCTAGTAAGACTGTTTCCCATATGATTTGATACCACTGGTTAATGTTCACCCCTGACAGATCTCTCCAGTGTCTGGCTATGAGGCTTCCGGCTGCTCAGAGTAGGTGGGTTATAAGTTCTGTATAATGTGAGTGGTCATTATGATCTTGGAAGATGTTCAGTAGGGCCAGTTCTGGGGTGAGTTCTAATACCTATTTAGTTATTTTGCCTATTTCTTGTAGGAATGCTGTCCAGAAGGGTTGGGTTTGGGGGCATTCCCACCACATGTGGAGGTATGTGCCTGTGGAGGTGCAGCCACTCCAACATTTTGGTGAGGTTCTTGGGCATATCTGTGCTAGTTTCCATGGTGTTAAGTACCACCTGTAGGTGAGTTTCAGAGTGAGTTCCCTTCTCTTGGCAGAGATGGATTTAAAGGGAGGTTTAGACCACATTCTAAGTAGGTCTTTAGTTTTACCTTAAAGTTGGGCCAAATGCATTTTCTTAAAATGCAAGTCCAGGGAGAAAGTGAAGGAAAGCTAAACCAGGCAGCTCTGTGAAGCTCATAATAAGGAGGCAAAGTTTATCATTAAAGCTGTACTGAGGTAAAATTAATAGTCTTCTTGCTTTTTTTTATTTGGGGTATTTCTACCCTGCCTACTGACCAAAGTTCTTGACCGATAATTAAAATTCATAAGATAGACAATAGTGCAGTGGTCAGGGCTAGACGTACCTGGAAATGCCAGGAATCAAACCTTTTATATGTGAGACATGTGCTCTATGCTGAATTATGCCAGAGCTGGAGGTGTCACCTCATCTTGCCTGCCTTTATATACTTTAAAGTCCCATGCTCAGACTACATTTTAAGCCATTTTAGGTATTTCTTTGTAACTGAATTACCATTTTAAGCCTGTTTGAACAAAGCTACTGTATCTGTTATTCTTCAACAAGTATTCCAAGTGAGTAAATGTTATGTTTATCTTTTTTAATACTTTTTGTGTGATTATTGTTTTAACGGGGGGAAGGGGGAAATACCAGAAAAAATCCAGTCTGCCTTAAAGCATTCTGTCTAATGTAATAGTAGTGCTCTGCCCATATCTTTCAATCATAAAATGTTCATAGTTATGCAATAGAACAGTCCTTTTAATCAAATACTTTAAAGTACAGTGCTCTGAGCTAGGGATCTTTTTTTCCTTGTAGAAAATGATGTTGGGTTTTGAATTGTACAAACACAAGGGTGAAAACAGATATTTAGAGACAAAGAATCCAAAAGTGTTCTAAGTATAAGCTTGTCATGCTAGCTTTTGTATTTCTTGCTGAGAGGTTATTTTAATTCATGATTTCTGTTGAAAAACACTGCTGGTTTGAAAGGTGTACTTTACTTAAGTTTGGATGCTTGGCTGAAACTGCAGTACTTTGAGCCAGCTTACAATTTTTGTCAAAACAACTTCTATGATAGAGAGACCACAATTCTGTTGCTAGGCAATTTGGGGTATCAGAATGCCTTCTCTAATGAAAAAAGGCTAACTTTCTTATTAGATCCTCTGCTACAAAATTGTATGCAACCAAGTGGCCTTTCATGTCTTGTCAGATTTCTTTTGTCTGCATCCTAGAAGCTCAATCATGCTGAATTAGAGAAAAACTGCATCAGATTGATTACCTCAGAAAGGTGAAGAATGACGTCACTCCATTGACAGTATGAAGAAGAAGAAGAAAAGATAAAATTGTGGAATGTAGAGTTTGAACTTTTTTTTGGGGGGGGAGGGGAAGTAAAGGCTAATTGTCTCCCTGAGGAAGAGCAGCTGCAGCCCTAAACATGCTTACTTGGGTGTGTAACCCATTGAACCTAATGGCATTCACATCTGAGTAAGTAAACATAGGATTACAACTATATATTTGGACCCTGACAGGAGCAAGGACTGCTTCATGCTAATAAAATCCTACATTCTTCCCAGTGTTATAAAACTTGAGGCAAAACAACGAGTGTGCAATATATGATAATTTAGGGATATGCAATTGAAATGTTCAAGCTGGCTGAAGCACAGAAGGCACTGGAGGAGAAGAATTCTGCAAAGTGGCTGGATTGAAGTGCGCAAAATGTTTTGATATTTATTTTATTGGATTTAGCATCACTTTCCACTATGTGCTGCTACTGTCATGCTGACAGGTTCAAACCCATAAAGATGTCTGAGGAAAGAGAAGGGCGGAGGAAATGAGTTAGAAGAAAGGATTTTCAGACTTTCTGCATAGCTACTGCACAAAGACAGTTGCATGCAGGAGAAGAAGAAGGAGCCCTACAAACTCTTTCAGTGACAAGTATGAACTAGCCAAATTTACTTATCTTCATTTCAATGAAATGCTGAGCCAAACTGTAGCATGTGCACACTTCTACTTTGTGGCTGAAAGCTTGGAGGGCTTTAACCAACTTGGGTGGCTTTCAAAGAGGATTAGACAAATTAATGGAGGATAAGGCTATTAATAGCTTCTAGCCACAATGTTCTCCCTCCACTGTGAGAGACAGTTTGCCAGTTGATGGGAGAACATCTGGTTGGCTACTTTCTGAAATCCATGGGCATCTGGTTGATCACTTTGACAGTAGAATGCTTTTTAGATCCATCACTGGGGGGCAGTCTGTGAGGTCCTGGGGTTCTTCTGTTTTGTTTGTTCTTATCTCACAATTTTTCCAAAGAGCTCACCCCAGTAGACATGGTTTTCGCTTTCATTTAATCCTCATTGCAACCCTGGGAGATCAATTAGGCTGAAACTCAGTTCATTTGCATTATTTAGTTTAATGGGAAAAGGATGTAATCAATCCAAACGAAGAGGCATGATAAATGATAAAAGCTGAGAGAGGGGTTTTTAAATTAAAAAAAGTAGTACTGAATTGTTACCTCAGCACAGTAGAAAAAAGGAAACCAGTTATTTTTCCATAAAATTTACACACCACTTGATTGAGGTTTTTTACAAAGTGGTTTGCAAAAGATAAAACAGAAAAATCAAGAGAAAAGAAATCAAAAAATTTTACAATTTATGTAAATACCTGAAAAGAGGAGGAGGAAGAGGAACATTAGGGTGTTAATTTTTGTCCTCCTTGTGAAACACTTGCTTTAGATCATAATAAACCATATCCCCACTCCTCCCCTTTGTGTGTCCTTATCCTCAACTGTGGTGTCTACTTATTTTATTCACCGTGTATACTTTCCTTACGCAAAAATACTAGAGTAGTTTACAGTTTAAAAATTTAAAATAAGCTGATGTAGTCCAGATGGAGAAGAAAACACTAAATACAGGCTCATAAGCCTCAGTGCGCCATGCTGCTAATCAGCATTGTTGAGATAAAAACAACGCAAAAAGGAATCCTGCTCACCTTCTATTCTCCCAAGTGCAGTGCTCAGGGCACACTTAGATTCCCAATTAGCATTCCATTTTTTGTGTGCAAAAGCACCCCTCCCCCACTGCTTGATGTTGAAGGTCTGACCCAGAGGTCCACCCCTTCAATGGCTCTCTTTGAATCCCTTTGAGACTCCCTCAGCTCAATCCTGCAGGCAGTGGTCTGGAGGTAGACAGTTGAGCTAGACTCTGCCGCCTTTGGGAATTTGTTATTGCTCACTCTTGACCCAGAAGTCTACCCTGCACTTGTTTTCTTCTGCCCTGCTGGCAAAACGGTGAGGTTGCATAGCCAAGCAGCTGAGGATTCTTCTCACCATGCTGCACTTTGCCTCCCAGATCAGCAACTTGCAAGCAGTTTTCCCAGGAGCCTGCCCTCCCTTAGGATCTTGCCAGAAGATCCATATTTGTCCATTCTGAACATCACCACGGTCCTTTGTGTTAATGTTTCTGCTTGTTTGTGTGATTTCTGAATAGCGCACCAAACTTTTGTGTGGACCTGAAGTCCAGTTTCAGCATGTGATGAACCCCGTCTTGAGTGTTTTCTTTCCAGTTTTGACAAAATGCTGTTGGCTCCCAGAAAAGGAACGAAAGCAAAGTCCTGTAAAAGAACATTGGTAGGTTTGCCAACTAGAGATACAGTGGAGCTGAGGTTTTCCCACGCATGTATGGAAGAGATCCAGACGTTCTCTGGAGTTCATGCATCTCAATGCAAGGGAGATCTTTGAGTGTCACATTAGAGTAGAAATGGGAGAAAGTGAACTGTGTATTCCTTGCACCACATGCTTTCTTTTTTTGCTGTTGTCTTGATCTATGGCGACATCCATCACCAAGGGAAGGTGATGGCCCAAGCAAGATGGAAATTGGCAGGCCCAGGGTTCTGGACCAGACTGGATTGCAAGCTTAAGGAAAGGCATTGTCAGGACCTTGGACAAGGGCCAAGGGGTCTGGTTACAGCCACAGTTTGCTTCCTGCAGTTGGAGCACAAAAAGGAAGTGTATATCCAGTTAAATAGCTGGTGTCCCTTTTCTGCAACTGCCGGCTTCTTTTAGGCAGTGAGGCTACAAGGGTTAGGGCTTCTATAAGGAAAGTTCTTCAGGGTTTTCCTGGTCCTCCAAAAAGTCTAGTTTAATCATTGAAGTCTGGTGGCAGGCATGTCTCCTCAGGGTCCAGGGGGCTTCATTTTCAATGTATCCACCGGGGAAGAAACATGAAGTGGATCTGTTTCATTCTCCTTGGAGCTACTATTGTAAGAGGACTCCACATCTGAGGGTTCTTGGCTGTGGCTTTGTAAAATCTATTAAGTGTCTTTGTGCAAACACAAAACTGTAGCCTTGAAGCTCTTGTGTGTGGAAAACTACCTTACCCTAGTACAATGTAACTAAATATTCTAAGCCTACTTTTCTGCTTTTGTTTGTATTAAAGCTTTTTGAATTTCATGTTTTTCTAAATAAAGCTAAGAATGTGCTCTTTAAAAACCAAATTGAGAGTTGTTGCTGGGAATTGTTTAGCACAACGAAGAGCATGTTCTACCCAGTAAAATGAATTCAACATGCTTCGACTGAACGCTACAGCATTAAAGCTTTTAGCATTTCTTCTGGGTAATATATAAAGGTGGCAAGGCTTTATGTATTTAATTCATGTAAGCTAATTACCATATTTTTTGCTCTATAAGACTCACTTTTTCATTCCTAAAAAGTAAGGGGAAATGTGTGTGCGTCTTATGGAGCGTATGCAGGCTGTGCAGCTATCCCAGAAGCCAGAACAGCAAGCGGGATCGCTGCTTTCGCTGCACAGCGATCCCTCTTGTTGTTCTGGCTTCTGAGATTCAGAATATTTTTTTCCTTGTTTTCCTCCTCCAAAAACTAGGTGTGTCTTATGGTCTGGTGCGTCTTATAGAGCAAAAAATATGGTATATTTCATGGAATTTAGCAAGGCTTCCAAAAGAACTGAAGAGCCAGCATTCTGGAAGGCAAATAAAGCTTTGGTAGATTACATTTACGTGATGTTTTTAAAGAATATTTCCATTTTTAACCATCAAGGCTAAAGTAGAAATGGCTCTCAAAACAGGACTGAAAGTGCTTCTGAAGGACAGCTATACAGAAAGTTTTGTAGTTAACCACAAATAGCCCAACTATCATTCCATACAGACAGAGACCCTCTTCCTCTTCCTTCTAGGTCCTTCAACTACATTTGAGTTTAACCTCTTCCATTCCAAGTTGATTCCTGATTCCCTGTTCCTAATTCAACACAGATGAATTCAGAGGCAGCCTGAATAAGGAACTGAATTTTGGGCACCACTCTGCTCTCTGCTTTGACTCATATCTTCCCCACTAGCAACCAGCCTGTGCATTCTGAGGTTCTGCCCATAACATAGGCTGGGCTGGATGGGTGATGGCGCAATATAGGGCATTCTTGGTAGTGGCCCCCTGCCTATGGAACTGCCAAGTGACAGTCTGCCTGCCACAACCATAGCAATATTTAATACAGGATGAGAAACCAATGACTCTCCATATGATTCTGAACTCCAGACACCCATCATCCCAGCCAAGTCATCCATGGCCATTAGCCATACTGACTGAGGCTAATGGGGGGTAGAGTCCAACAAAATCTGCAGGGCCATGGGTTCCCCATAGCCAATTTAGGGAAAGGTTAAAGTAATTTTTCTTTGGCTAGGCGTTTGGCCCATGATGTAATTATTTTTTGGAGTGCGGTCCTACAGATACTATCACTGATAGCAAATCTCTTTGAAGACCGTTCAAAGTTGCAGAGGCATATGACTAAAGGTGGAGCAAGGTTATCATCATCATCATCATCAGAGTTCAAGATTTAGGAATTGGTTCCACTCACAATCCATGTTGCATTGCTAAAACATTACCTGCTTCAAGAACAAACAAGCAGGAAGTCAACAGGAAGACAATAAGGTTTATAAGCTCATAAGAAAAAGCCTGCTAGATAAAGCCAGAGGTCCACGTGGTCCAGCATTCTATTTCCACTTTGGCCAACCATATACCTATATGATGCCTATCATGGGTGCAGTAGCCTTCCCTAGCTCTTATTCTCCTGAAATTGCTATTCAACAGCATATTATCTGTGATTCTAAATAATAGCATTTCAGTACAGTGGTACCTCGGGTTAAGTACTTAATTCATTCCAGAGGTCCGTTCTTAACCTGAAACTGTTCTTAACCTGAAGCACCACTTTAGCTAATGGGGCCTCCTGCTGCTGCCGCGCCGCAGGAGCACGATTTCTGTTCTCATCCTGAAGCAAAGTTCTTAACCTGAAGCATTACTTCTGGGTTAGCGGAATCTGTAACCTGAAGCGTATGTAACCTGAAGTGTATGTAACCCGAGGTACCACTGTACTCTAATAGATCCTCTCAGGGCACTTCAGGTTACAAAATATCCTTCTGGGCACAAGGCACTGAATGAAAATATGTATGTTGCCTCCATTGGTGTATTTTGTTCTGTGGTATAGTATAGATAATGAGACCCTGTTGATGACTTGCTTTGTTTGTTTCAATCCTTTATTAGGTGCTTTTGCTTGCAAGATGGTGCCTTTTGTTCAATCCACTGCAATAGTTACTGAGATTCTTACAATGACCTGCATTGCGGTAGAAAGGCATAACGGGATCGTCCACCCTCTTAAGATGAAATGGCAGTACACCAACCGAAGAGCATACACAATGCTTGGTAAGGTCCTGGGCAACTTTGGTACTGCACGACATAGCATGTTGCTAGTGATTTCTCACTTTTGATATGTCCGCTATAGAGCAGTGGTGAGGAACCTGGGGATCTCCAGATGTTGGACCTGACCTTTGGCCATGTGGGTTGCAACTGATTTGAGTTGCAGTTCAACAACATCTGGAGGGCCCCAGATTACCCACCTCTGCTTTAGGGGGATGCAGCTGCTATGAGAGAAGATTAGTTTTTTTTAAAGAATATAAAAGAAAAACCCACTTTGGATGCATACAGATTAAAACCCCTCCCTCACTCCAAACATACATACAGAATCAAATGGAACTAGTCATTTAATATATTTGTATATGGTCTACCCTGCCTTCAAATAACTGTTCTTTTAAGGTAAGGTAAAGGTATAGGGACCCCTGACCATTAGGTCCAGTCGTGACCGACTCTGGGGTTGCGGCGCTCATCTCGCTTTACTGGCCAAGGGAGCCGGCATACAGCTTCGGGGTCATGTGGCCAGCATGACTAAGCCGCTTCTGGCGAACCAGAGCAGCACACGGAAACACCGTTTACCTTCACTCCGGAGCGGTACCTATTTATCTACTTGCACTTTGACGTGCTTTTGAACTGCTTGGTTGGCAGGAGTCTTTTAAGGTAGCCTACAACAATTTTAGCATACAGTGGTACCTCGGGTTAAGTACTTAATGCGTTCCGGAGGTCCGTACTTAACCTGAAACTGTTCTTAACCTGAAGCACCACTTTAACTAATAGGGCCTCCTGTTACTGCTGCGCCGCCGGAGCATGATTTCTGTTCTCATCCTGAAGCAAAGTTCTTAACCTGAAGCACTATTTCTGGGTTAGCAGTCTGTAACCTGAAGCGAATGTAACCTGAAGCGTATGTAACCCGAGGTACCACAGTACAAGATACAAAAAGATCACAATCTTAAAAAATCAAGTTGATAAAAAACCCAAGAAGAAACTGGAGCAATAACAACACAATGATAATGGTGAAATGCAAAAACAAATGGGTTCATTGCTTGACTGAAAGCCAAGAGAGAGGGAGCCAACTGGGCTTTCTTATGGAAGGGCCTTCCATAAAATGGCGCTACTGTTGAGAAGGTCCTGTCGTGTGTCCTACCCCGGTAATGCTCTGAAGGAAAAGGAACAGGGAACAGGCTGTAATGGGTAAACAGACTAATGGGAGGGAATGCAACTTCACATGGACCCTGTTAAAGCTCTAGTAATATTTTATAAACAAGCCCAGTGCAAAAAAAACCTCTTTGGGCAAGCTACATTTTTGCAGCCTCTTCAGCTAATGTTCGCTGTAAAAATGACTAGTCCCATTTGATTCCCAATGTAAGATTGCTTTCTCTCCCCCTCCCTGCCTCTCTCTCTGCCGCTCTGTCTTTTGGTGGTGATAAACCCGTAGGAGGACAAAAATGTTTTGTTGATGCATTAAAATATCCGTTTTGTTTGTGCACGAGCTGTACTAGGACTTCTTCCTTCCTGAAACCCTCATGACCTGACTTTTATATGTGCAGAATTATTGAAAATGCACTCACAGTGCATCCTTTGAAACAAGATAGTTGGCAGAATGCCTCGAGAGCCTCTGTTGCATCCAACACACGAGATTTACCCTAGAAGCCCATATGCATGCTTTGTGGGCTGATACCTTTCAGAACAAAACTGAATGTGACTCTGTCTCAATACTCACCGACTGGGGTGGGAGAAGTGTCCCAGATTCACTCAGGCGTTGGCATCGTTGGGTAACTGCTGATGCCCACACCTCTGCAGGAGCCCTATGCTGAACTCCACAGCTCCTGGCCCCGCTCTCCTTTTTGCAAATGTGGCTTGTTCACCACCCTTCTATGAGCATGTGATTGGTGACAACCGTGCGAAGATGGAGAAATGCCCTCTCCTTTTCTTAGGTTCTCTCTCTGGGCAGTTGTGAGGATTGCTCCAGAAAAAGAAGGCAGCTGAAAGGGCAGAGGTGGCAAGTCTAATCAGAGAGGGCACCTACTGAGTGCATCTTGCCTAAGCCCCCTGGCAAACCTGGAGATGGCACTGAATTCACTTTCAAATTTCTCCCTTCCCAGTATTGGTCCATTTTGTGATTTGGACATGTAAAATTCCATATAAGGTAAAGGTGAAGGAGCCCTGGATGGTTAAGTCCAGTCAAAGGCAACTATGGGGTGTGGCACTCATCTCACTTTCAGGTCGAGGGAGCTGACTTTTGTCCACAGACAGCTTTCCATGTCATGTGGCCAGCATGACTAAACCACATGACATATTTATCTACTTGTATGGGTGTGCTTTCGAACTGCTAGGTTGGTGGGAGCTGGGACAGAGCAACGAGAGCTCACCCTGTTGTGCGGATTCGAACAGCTGACCTTCTGATTAGCAAGCCCAAGAGGCTCAGTGGTTTAGAACACAGTGTCACCTGCGTCCCTTGAAAATACACTTTCTTAAAAACAAAAACAAAAGAACTTGTAGCTCATTGCTCTGAATTCAGCTCCAGGGCAAAATTCATTTCACAATTAGTCCTAATTCTAACTGCCTTCCTCATGCTTGCTGTAATATCTTATCCAAATACTCCATATGGCCACATCACCAACTAATATAAAAATGCTAATTGCTCGCTCTAATTTCCTGTTTTTTCTCTTTAAAACCAGCAATTACATCATCATCATCATCATTATTGTTATTGTTATTATTATTATTTTCAGGCATAGTCTGGCTGTTGGCAGCTATCGTTGGGTCACCCATGTGGCACGTACAGCGCCTGGAGGTATGGTCTGTTGCATTATGCAATTATATCTTTATAGGTCAGTTTTGCATTGAGTTTCAGCATGAATAAGGCTACTCTTCAGGAGATGACTATTATGTGCTGTAGAAAAATGTACAAAGAGAAGTACAGGCTGTGACGGCACAATAGCACTTTCCCCCCTGGCGCTGTTGGGCCTGCCCTCACTTAAATATAATGCACCCACCTCACAGAACACCAGTTCCACCAGTTCCTACAAACTACCCCAGATTATCTTGTGGGGGACTTGTGTGAGGGAAAACTTAATAATTTGGAGTCTCAGGCAGGATTTGATTAAAAAAAAGAGAGATTTTATTTAGCAAAGGAAGTTTATGGCACAAAGTGAGTAAAACATAGGATACCTCAGATTATAATGTTATTTCACTTCAGTTCTTTCTCAGTTGTTGCACAACTGTTGCCACTTAGTACTTTGGTTCTTAAACCTGTCAGTACTTCCTGTCAGTTACACACCTGTTAGTCAGCCCTACTCCTGAAGTACTCCAAGTAACAGACCCAAGGGCTTTCCACACCCCTCTTAACTGGTTTGGGAGTCTTCTCTTTTTGTAGAAGAATCTCTCCCCTCCTGACTGGAATGAGTCCTACATAGACTGTATCCTCACAGCTTCTACTTCTCCTGGCTCAGCCTCAGCCTCCCAGTTAGTTCCTGGCCTATTACTCTTACAGGACACCACACACTGTCTTCACCCTAAGCTCAGTGACTTCTTTCTCTAGCTTGTGATATATTCCTCAGAGTGGATGTTTTTACCCAGAACCAACTCTCTCTCTTACTCCCTATCTCCCAACCTCCCAAAACTGACTCTCCAAATCCTCTCCTTTTCAACCCCCTCTCCTGGAACCTCAACCAATCAGAGGCTGCCATTTGTTAACCGTTTGCTGGCAGGGGAAAAGAAAAAGAAAACACTAGGGGACCTAACCTGCCCAGGGAAACAAACTTTTCCGTCACACAGGTATTTAAATAGTGACCTTAGAAATGAGTAGGGACCCAAGTAAATAAGGCTTGTTTCTGTCGAGGAACAACTGGTTTTAGCAATTGTTAGCTCTCTTGGGAAGTACTGTTTGCATGGTAAACCAATGTGAGATCAGAGCTGTGCTGAGTTGCCCTGTCCAGATATCACATGCACAGACCAGCTCTGCTCCCTGGCATCTCTGTGTACATTGTGGACAGCCGTGTGTGTGTGTGTAGCATTGGTCTTATGTGTGCATTATACTCCTAAATATAGAGCCAGTATGGTGTAGTGGTTAAGAGCAGTAGTCTCGTTATCTGGGGAACCGGGTTCGCGTCTCCACTCCTCCACATGCAGCTGCTGGGTGACCTTGGGCTACTCACACTTCTTTGAAGTCTCTCAGCCCCACTCACCTCACAGAGTGTTTGTTGTGGGGGAGGAAGGGAAAGGAGAATGTTAGCCACTTTGAGACTCCTTAAAGGGAGTGAAAGGCGGGATATCAAATCCAAACTCCTCCTCCTCCTCCTCCTCCTCCTCCTCCTCTTCTTCTTCTTCTTCTTCTTCTTCTTCTTCTTCTTCTTCTAAATAGGGTGATAGTCTGTCCTTATTGTTAGAGCAGAAAATATATACAGTGGTACCTTGGGTTACAAATGCTTCAGGTTACAGACTCCACTAACCTGGAAGTAGTACCTCAGGTTAAGAACTTTACTTCAGGATGAGAACAGAAATTGCATGGTGGCGGCGCGGCAGCAGCAGGAGGCCCCATTAGCTAAAGTGGTGTCTCAGGTTAAGAACAGTTTCAGGTTAAGAACGGACCTCCGGAACGAATTAAGTTCTTAACCAGAGGTACCACTGTATTTACAAAGCAGTTTGTGCGATGAACTTTAAAAATAATTTTTCACTGACCTGCCATTGTGTCTGGGTCAGACACTTGGTTTAAGTCTTTCTGTAGTACCGTAGTTTACTGCTTCTGGCCCTAGATTATAAGTTCAGGGAGTGTTCATGCTGTTCCTTTTTAAAGTGTACCTTGTGTTTTGCCATGGCTTTCCTTGTTGTTTCATGGACCTTGCTGTTTTATCCTACAGTAAACAGATGGCAGATATTCATATATTTGATTGCTGTATTTTAAATATGGTTGTGTTTAAAATAGTTGTACAACCCATCCCTGACTTAGCTCAATTGGTTTGATCAGAAATGCATGCCTGCATGTGTGGGTTGCACATTGCTCTGTGATAGAACAGTTTTGCGTACATAATATCCCATGTTTGGTCATTGCTCAGCAAATAAGGTTGGGAAAGACCTCTCTGCTTGATATCCTAAAGTGCTAGCCTAAATGACCCAGTGGCCACCCCTGAGTCAGGGCAAGCCAATCCGTACAGGTTTTACACAGCCAGCACTTAAACCTCTGCTCATATTTGATGAAAAATATGCACCTTTTCCTTTCCTTGCCAATAGGCTAGGAGTAAGTTCTCTTTTCTGTACTGAGTGTGACTTCAACTTAATTTGTTTCAGAATAAATATGACTTCCTTTACGATAAAGTGTACGTTTGCTGCCTGGAAGAATGGGCCAGTCCTGTCCACCAGAAGATATATGCTACTTTCATTTTGGCTATTCTCTTCCTGCTCCCAATGATACTGATGCTCTTGCTCTACAGCAAGATTGGTTATGAGCTTTGGATTAAGAAAAGAGTTGGAGATGCTTCTGTTCTGCAAACTATTCATGGGAACGAGATGTCCAAAATAGCAAGGTTTGTATAGTCAGTCTTTAGCATTCAGTATTAAACTCCAAAATGTATGTAATTTTATTTTATTGGCGTCTATAAAGGAAATCCTTGACTCCCCAGCTTTCTTGAATTCTTTGAGAGTGTCAATGATCACCTGTAGACAGAGGTTATCTATCAGACAAGTTATAATTCAGGCCCAAATTACATGTTACAAACAAATGTTTGTTATGAAGGATCAGAAATGTTTGGCTCATCTCTCCCACTCTGCTCCCCCTTTTCTATTTTACATACACACCTGGATTATATCATTCTCAGATGGTGGGGGAGATATGTTACCTTTTTACCCCATTCAGAATGAAGATCCAGATGTTGAGATCAAAAGATAAACCTAGCAACTTTGCAACCAAAGTTCAGTCCTCAGCAGCGGTATTTGAATGTGTTTTAATGAGTTGTTAATTATTAATCTTAGCATTATGCTTTTAATATTTGTGTTTATTTATATCATGATGTATTATTTATGATGATGAAGTCTGTATGTTTGTTCTTCAAAATCCCAAGTGCCTTTGGAGGAAAAGCCATTTTAAAATATTTTAAGCAAACAAACAACAAGGGCAGTTCCAGCCCTTCTCCATTAACTTCTCCCCCCAACAGTTGCATGAATGTTACCCCGCAGCTGTGAAAAATTACCAACAAAACAAAGTCCTAACAACAGGTTTTAGGGTTTTTAGAAATTAATGGCTAAAAATAAATCAATCTCAGCACAGGTAATCATTTTATTATTTCTATAGCACTTAACCCCACTTTTAAGAAAGCATTTTTGACGTGGGAGCCACTTCAGTGCAGCTCATTTCGCTTGGGTAACATGGGAAGAGTCTATGCTGTAGTTTCTTCCTGTGCCAATGTTGATCCAGTTTCCACCAAGGGTGGAATCAGGTGTGGGGATTATTGCATTGTTTTTGTGGTTCTAAAGCTCACACTCCCTTTTATATTGCATTATCTGATGGGTTCTCACACTCATATATACAGTATGTGAGAAAATTAATAAAAATGCTTTATATCAGATGAACTGGATAGCTCATTTGGTTAGGGCATGGTGCTAATAATGCCGAGGTTGCAGGTTCGATTCCCGTATGGGACAGCTGCATATGCCTGCATTGCTGTGGGTTGACTAGATGATCCTCAGTATCCCTTCCAGTTTCGATTCTATGAACTTGTTTGCAGAACTGTGTACCTTGGTCAAAGCTGCATACCAAAAAATGTTCCTATTAGGAGAAATGCTGAAGAATTTCAGTGCTGTTGTTGTTTTAAAATCACAAATTGCTGAAGAAAGGTGGAGCTGAATTTAAGATTGGGAAAATGGGAAACTGAGGGGATGGAAAGTGACAGATCCATCCACCCTTAGCTGCAGGCAAAGGTCTTCCCCAGCACCTACTGCCTGAGAACATTTAGCTGGAGATGTCAACCTGGAGCCTTCTGTAAAGAAAGCATGTGATTTACTACGGAGTTCTGGTCCATCCCTGTCACCTGGATGCCCCCCAAGTCACCAGGAGTCATCTATATATCTGTGCAGAAATTTGCAGTACAAGCTCTCTTTCCTCTTTCAGGAAAAAGAAGCGAGCAATCATCATGATGGTAACTGTTGTGGTTTTATTCACCATCTGCTGGGCTCCTTTTCATGTAATGCACATGATGATAGAATACAGTGAGTAGCTTTTTCTTTTGAAATTGTAGTAGTTGGTTTTGTGATCAAGGTGGCCAGTGAAAGCCCACAAAACTCAAAGTTTTTATGGCATGACCATATAAAATGCCCAGCACATATATACAGTGGTACCTCGGGTTACATATGCTTCAAGTTACATATGCTTCAGGTTACAGACTCCGCTGACCCAGAAATATTACCTCAGGTTAAGAACTTTGCTTCAGGATGAGAACAGAAATCACGCAGCGGCAGTAGGAGACCCCATTAGCTAAAGTGGTGCTTCAGGTTAAGAACAGTTTCAGGTTAAGAACGGACCTCCAGAACAAATTAAGTTCTTAACCCGAGGTACCACTGTATTTCACTAAAGGTCTATAGCAGTGGTTCCCAACCTTTTTCGGCCATGCCCCACCTAAGCATCTCTAAAATCCTGATGCCCCCCGCCCATGACATATAATTCTTATTATTCAAAAAATGAACTCCTATTCACGGGGAGGAAGCCTAAAAGGCCATTAACTGTTAATAACTCATTTTTGAATTGCCCCCCCCCTTAAAAATCAAATTGCCTCCCTGTGGGGTATTGCCCTATCTTGGGAACCACAGGTCTGCAGGGACACTGAAAAGAAAGAATTAATCTATCATAATCGGAATAATAATTATAATAATAGTTTATTATTTATACCCTGCCCATCTGGCTGAGTTTGGTTTAAAAAAAGATGCCTTAATACATTTTACCATTTATAAAATTCAGCTACCCAGTACCATTTTGAGGTAGCGACTCTTTGCTTTTTTGTGTTTCATTTAGTCTCCTTCCTACACCTTTCTTTCCTTTGTAGGTTTTTTATATCAGCCATCTCCTTTTATTCTAGTTATCTGAACTGCTTCTTGAATGCCTTTCTCTCTCTCTCTCTCCCCCCCCCCCCGATCTTGAATTATAGTGCACTCTCTCAGCTAAACTTCGTTCTTGAAGTAAATGAACAAACCGTGGCAGTTCATTGTTGTCAAGAATTATGGCACTTGATTTGAAATTGTGAAATATAGATGTTTGAAGGTTTTTTATGCTATTGCTATTGATTTTGAAGTGAAAAACATTATATACTCTTATGGAATACAAGTTAAGTGAATGCCAGGGTGCGATGGTATGGGGCTTCATTGTAGAGTCATCTATAGACGTTCTCAGTTGTCAAATGTTCCATAATTCAGAACTGATTGGGATTTTTAGCAAGAGGTCCCCAAAGCCTCTCTTTTGAGGCTTGAGGGTTGGTCTGAAGACTTGGAACTGCCTCATTTTTCCTCAGACCAAAGTTGCCTTGGATTCAGGTAAAAGTAAAGGTAAAGGGACCCCTGACCATTAGGTCCAGTCGTGGCTGACTCTGGGGTTGTGGCGCTCATCTCACTTTATTGGCTGAGGGAGCCAGCGTACAGCTTCCGGGTCATGTGGTAAGCGTGACTAAGCAACTTCTGGCAAACCAGAGCAGTGCACGGAAACGGCGTTTACCTTCCTGATGGAGCGGTACCTATTTATCTACTTGCACTTTGACGTGCTTTCGAACTGCTAGGTTGACAGGAGCAGGGACCGAGCAACGGGAGCTCACCCTGTCGCGGGGATTTGAACCGCCAACCTTCTGATTGGCAAGTCCTAGGCTCTGTGGTTTAACCCACAGCGCCACCCGCAGAGCCAACCTGAATATCTCCAAGGTGGGGGCATTCTCACATCCGACTTGTGCCTCATCTGAGGCAAGTTCGCATCTTAGCACTTAATGTATTGTATCATCAAATTACCATGTAATGCTTACCAGCACAAAGCCAGTTCTTAATGGGTGTTTTCTTCTCTCCAGGTAATTTCGAAAGGGAGTATGATGACGTCACCATTAAGATGATCTTTGGCATAGTTCAGATCATTGGATTTTCCAATTCCATTTGCAACCCCATTGTGTACGCCTTTATGAATGAGAACTTCAAGAAAAACTTCCTCGCTGCCCTTTGCTTTTGCATTATAAAGGAAAACCTGTCCCCATCCAGGCGACGTGGAAACCTAGGGATTACAATGAAGCAGCAGAAGGATGAAGGCTGCAGGAGACAACCCAACTCCTCGGGGGAGAACAGAAGAGAAGCATTCAGTGAAGGGAACATTGAAGTAAAACTCTGTGATCAGTCCTTTGCCAAAAGGAATTCCAGAAGGCACCTTGCTTTGTTTACCTCTGAACTCAATGGGCATGCTTCACTGGGACACTAGCATTATGGACATCTCACTGGATCCTTGATACTTGAGAATTCTTGCATCATATCCTAGGCCTGGCCAGTCTGAAGGCTTCATGTAAATAGTCAACAAAGCAGGCTTTGGCTCCTTCAGTTGTCAGCTCAAGCTGCTGATCTCAGGGACCATAGAATCACAGAATCCTAGAGTTGGAAGAGACCCTGAGGATCATCTAGTCCAACCCCCTGCAATGCAGGAATATGCAGCTGTCCCGTATGGGGATCGAACCTGCAACCTTGGCATTATCAGCACCATTCTGTAACCAACTGAGCTAACCATGAGCCCTCTAAGTCTGGATTTGGTGTGTGCCTTTTCATGGCACTAGTCTGGGCCTGACACTGAGCTAAGAACTAATCTAGCCTATTCACCGACCTTTTGAAAATTAGCACAGTATAGGTGTTTACTCCTACTGGACTACGTGATGGTGCAGCATTTTCTTCTTTTCTTCAGTTCCTTCTTCCGTTCCTTTGTTATGCTTCCCGGAGACTGATGTGGAAGCTCTTTCTTTTCTTTTCTATCTGTTCTTCTCCAATCTAAGAACAACAATCTGCTTAATTGCAAGGCAAATTGCTTTCGCTTAGTTAACCTTGAAGATAGCATCCTCACCAATGGTATTTGAGGATTATTTGCGTGCATTTGAAACAGACAATTGTAAACAAATTGCACTATTTGATTTTGCCTAAAATTGAAGGATCTTCACAGCAGTGCAGTGGTTTCATGCTCTGTTTTGTTACTTGTTACTAGTGTTCTTTTTTAGAGATAGGGTTGTATTTAACTAACATTCTCAGGGTAGACCCACTGAAATTAAGTGACCTAGGTTTGTCATGCCCATTGATTTCAGTGGGTCTACTCTGAGTAAAAGTTAGTTGAGTACAAGCCAGTTTCTCCAAAACCTGGCTTATAGTGGAATATTTTTTTATAACTGCATGCAGCTTAGCTAAAGGAAGTCTGTTTTCCTTTATATAAAATGTTCTGTTGCCTTCAAATTATTGGCCAAATAATCAAATAGTACAACAAAATAACCTGTAATTTGTTTTGCACTCATTCAGTGTACAAGGCCAATATTTTTAGCAAAGTTGTGATTACAAATACAATGTGACATTTAATTTATGAAGACATTTTAATGCTGTTGCCTTTTAAAATGATTGTATACTGTCATCTCTCTTGCTTCATCATGCCCTTAAGCCCAACTTTTATTCATAATAGTTTCCCACCCCCATTACTCTTTAATTCAAATAGCAGCCCTTCAAAACACTGAGCATTTGCTGCATTTTCAAATGCTGGTAATTTCTCCTGTATATGCATCAAAAGTGGACTATTTCCATTTATCTGATTATGCACCTCATTTTTAAAGTGTCTAAAACTGAACAAGGATCTTCCCCATGGGCCACTATATTACATATGATCCAACTTCTAGAATTCTCTTTGAAAATGTGGATTTCTCCAAAAAGGGCACCCTCAAGACATCAGTATTTCCTACATTTCTAGGTATAATTTGCAGGACTGGATCACTCAATGGCTATATTATGGAGCCACTATTATCATTCCACATCATGCTTTAAAATTTTATTCACGGCAGAGATTGCCTAAGCAACTGTGAGTGGTGACACCTGTTTGAGCACTAAACTTGAAGATCTGGATTTGCATCACAGCTCTGAGATGAATTCACTTGTCCTTGCCCAGCAGTTTCAATACATGCCATGACAGGAATTATGTGCCCATTTAAAAGTGGAACAGTGTTTTCAGAGCTGCATTTAGGTACCTCTTAAAAAAGACGCACACACTGTGTGCTTGCGTCACTGCAGCAAACACTTGTACTGAGAAAAACATAGTGATTTATGTGGATAGGGAGATGACCCCCCCCTCCGCTGCCTAGAAAACCATTTCTTTTCATTCCAGTACTCTTACCATGGGACTAGAGTAGATGGGGACTACAGAGGGAAAGGCTGCTTTCCCCTGTCCTTTCACCACTCACTGAGCATTTTCTGCAAAAGTGAGTTGGTTGGATGTATCTGTGTGGTATTTTACCTGTGCAATTAGTAGTTACAGACTGGTGACATAGTCAGAATTGCAGGAGAATCTGAGTAGCTATGAATGCTATGGGAGACTCTCAGTTTCTGCATCTTATCATCCTTTCAGTATTATCAGTTGAGATGCTTGCAATTAAGGCTTAGAATATGGACAGGCTTGCCATATTTGCAGGAACAGTAACAAATAGTTGCCAAATAGGAAATTTACTGCAAAGCAGTGCAATGATGTGGATTGTTCGCTTATGTTTTTTGTGTACATTAGTGATTCTACATTGTTTTTAAAAAACTGCTTGAGAATATCTGCATGTGCCTGTGGTACTATCCCTATTCTTTGACAAAGGATATAAGATTCTTATTTTGGCTGAGAATGTTGGCTTATCTTTAATTTGCACCCACAGTATACTTTTTATGGGTTCTGTTTATGGAAACCATGGTTTTTCAGTTTCTTAGAGGAGGGCACTGTGAGGTCTAACTACATATTGCTTTGCACAGTTCTAAGAGTATCGGTTGAAAGATCAACTAAATAGAAAAATGTGTTGCATCAGAATGATAGTATTTCCCGTAACTGGATGTTTACAAATAGGTTTAAAAAGGGGGGGGGGGCAAATTCCATGCTAGAAGTTAATAGCAAAAGGACTGGAAATCAATCTGTCAGTATCCTAATGCTCCCAGGGAAATGGGATTAGGATTGCAGCTTTAATATGCTTCCTGCTGTGAATTTTAAGCACCAACAGAATGCACTATTGATCATTGTTTTTCTCACGTGGAAATAAGTGGTCTCTTTTGTTGACCGTGGGCTTCAATCTGTGCTCCTCAGTTAAAGTCTGAAGACTTCGAGCTGTCAAGCACAAAATCATGTTTACTATAAACAATTTAAAATATAAATTGAGTGTTATTTCAGCAGATGCACAGAGCACCACTTTCTATATAAAACGCTCAGTTATGAAATAAAATACTGCAGTGCAAAAAAGGGCTTATCTAAGTGGAACTAAGAGTGTCTATAAAATGTTTTCATATTCCCCCTGGAATTTATACAATTCAGTATATCAAGAGGGTATTAAAACGATCTTTCCCAGATGCTTGAGGGAGGTTAATTAGCAGGATTGATTTTTTACGGAACTGTAAAATCAAGATGGGTTTGTGATGGGAAGTTAGCTACTCATTAGCTTTGTCTTTAAGATGCTACAATGCTTGCGCCCCCCCAAAAGACTTAATAGGGCTGCTCCTCTGGAAATCTATTATTCAGCACAAAATGAATGTAAACATCCACTGAAGACTGATATATGCATAGCTATCATTCACTATGATATGTGTAAAAAGAAAATACACATATTTTTGCATTGTTGTTGTTTAGTCGTTTAGTCGTGTCTGACTCTTCGTGATCCCATGGACCAGAGCACGCCAGGCACTCCTGTCTTCCACTGCCTCCCGCAGTTTGGTCAAACTCATGGTAGTAGCTTCGAGAACACTGTCCAACCATCTCGTCCTCTGTTGTCCCCTTTTCCTTGTGCCCTCCATCTTTCCCAACATCAGGGTCTTTTCCAGGGAGTTTTCTCTTCTCATGAGGTGGCCAAAGTATTGGAGCCTCAGCTTCATGAACTGTCCTTCCAGTGAGCACTCAGGGCTGATTTCCTTCAGAATGGATAGGTTTGATCTTCTTGCAGTCCATGGGACTCTCAAGAGTCTCCTCCAGCACCATAATTCAAAAGCATCAATTCTTCAGCGATCAGCCTTCTTTAAGGTCCAGCTCTCATTTCCATGCATCACTACTGGGAAAAGCATAGCTTTTGCTATACGGACCTTTGTTGGCAAGGTGATGTCTCTACTTTTTAAGATGCTGTCTAGGTTTGTCATTGCTTTTCTCCCAAATAGCAGGCATCTTTTAATTTCGTGACTGCTGTCACCATCTGCAGTGATCATGGAGCCCAAGAAAGTAAAATCTCTCACTGCCTCCATTTCTTCCCCTTCTATTTGCCAGGAGAAGAAGAAGAAGAAGAGTTTGGACTTGATATCCCGCCTTTCACTCCCCTTCAGGAGTCTCAAAGCGGCTAACATTCTCCTTTCCCTTCCTCCCCCACAACAAACACTCTGTGAGGTGAGTGGGGCTGAGAGACTTCAAAGAAGTGTGACTGGCCCAAGGTCACCCAGCAGCTGCATGTGGAGGAGCGGAGACGCGAACCCGGTTCCCCAGATTAAGAGACTACCGCTCTTAACCACTACACCACACTGGCAATACCAGAGGAAGACTTCTGCAACATAAACTGATTGCAGCAAAACAAAAAATACAGGATGAAAGTTCAAATGGCTGTAGAATGAGCTCTTCACTGGCTGGGCTGCTGAAGGCTAAATGAGCAGGAGGAGGATTTATTATATAGCAAAAATAGATTCCAGAGATCCTGAGAGAAGCAGATTCCTGCACTGAGCAATTATCTGAATCTCTCCAACATACAGGTGGTTTGGCACAGCACTGCTCAGCATTGGTGCTGCATTAGTGGCAAGGCCAGTACACCTTGCAAGGGAATTTAAATGGAAGCTTCTCTCAGCACTGGTTACTTTACCCTCTTTAATTTAATTTTTGGACAGATTTTAAAGGGATTCATCTGGAGCAGCAGAGGCTTGCGTCACCTTGACCAGGGCCTCAGCACACTGGCATTTTTGCCCAGCCACACTGTGTGCTGATATTGAGCCTGGCGAATGAAGTGCTTGGTGGGTTTGACCAAAATGTTAAAAGAACTCAAGTTTGTTATTTGTTCGATATTCCTGGCAATTGACATTGTTTTGTGCATATGGCCAGTGACTGTGGTCACTGTAGTACTGTGGATTTTATACTATCCTAAATCATGTATTATTGCTTACACTGTTTTCATTGTATGGTTTTACTATTTCTGTACACTTTTTGACATTTTTAAATGTAGAACAGTATGTAAATGTATATAAACAGTGTTCACTACAGTGGTGCCCCGCAAGACGAATGCCTCGCAAGACGGAAAAACCGCTAGACGAAAGGGTTTTCCGTTTTGAAGTTGCTTCGCAGGACGAATTCCCCTATGGGCTTGCTTCGCAAGACGAAAATACCTTGCGAGTCTTGAGATTTTTTTTCGCTCCCCCCCCCTTTATCTAATCTGCTAAGCCTTTAATAGCCTTTAATAGCCTTTTAGCAGCTAATCCCCTAAGCCTTTAAGCCTTTAATAGCCGCTAAACCGCTAATAGCGCTAATAGCGCTAATCCGTCAATGGGCTTGCTTCGCAAGACGAAAAAACCGCTAGACGAAGACTCTCGCGGAACGGATTAATTTCGTCTTGCGAGGCACCACTGTATTTATAAAAACAAGACGCTGTTAAAATTGAAAGCATGTATTTGGAATTGTGTTTCTGGAAGTGGAAACTAAACTTTGCTTCTTAATATTTCTGAAGCCTGCGTAAAAATATATATATTTAAAGTTGTCTGTCCTTCTTGGACTCTCCAGCTGTGGCCATAGCAAGGCATCCCCCTGTAATTAAAATGTCAACTTAAGGAAGGAGTTGGGAAGAAGCAGAGAATGGTTGAAAGTTTCCTTGCTTGAATATATAGGCCTTTAAGAAAACAACAACCCAGAAACCAGAGCTATTAGCAGATTGCCAGTTAGAATTGTTTCCTACTTGCAAAGCAGTTCTCCATGTAGTGGGGATTATGCAGGTGGAAGGGATGAAGACCTGTTCAATCTTGCTCAGTGGAAACTGAAGGGAGATGCTGGCTTGTCTTTATATATATCCCCTTAAGATGGCTTTGTCCTAGAGACAAGAGGTACAAGAATGGTGACTAATTCTTCACAGCTGGTTACTCTAAGCACATCTAAGCACTTGAATATTCAATCATTAAAAAGGCATTCATCCCAAAAATTTATGAAGTTGAAACCAGCGTGGGGTATTGGCTTGAATCGGTGTGTGTCTGGCGACATCATGTGGTACCATTTGGAAAACACATTTCCCAAGGCTCATTTATAATACATATGGCTTTTTCATATGTGTATAAAAATTGTATTGATGTAACAGTAGGTTGGGCATGCAGTCAATTTATACTCAACCTGAAATAATTCAGGGAGACACTTATATAGAAGAACAGGCAGAACACCACATGTATTGAATACAGTCAGGAAAAAAATGCGAGAGCTCTCATACACACCTTAGTGCACTGGTGGACTTACCCTGACACGCTCATACAGTAACCCATATTCTGCAGGGCTATATTTACCAGGGATAGGTTCTCTGGCTGTTAGATGGCCAGTCCAGGAAATGATGAGATTGTAGCATTAGATTCCTCATTGAGGTAGATTAAGAGTTCTTGCTGTCTTCTGTCCTACCTCTTGTACTCTTTTCCCCAGCTACCAGGAGACCAGTGGTTCATGCCTTATTCTTTTACATCTTTTTTTATTTTGGCCACAGGGTATCAGAGATGCTTTATCCATCGCTGTGCTGATCCTGGGATGTGCTTGCAATCTGAGCCCACACTTTCAGAGGCCCAGCTGAGCACTTATAGTTCCAAGGAGATTAAGCATCTCAGGCTCAGACATGGCATCTTCAGCCAACTTTGTTGGAATACCAAACTTTGTGACAAAGTTAACATTGTCTGCTGCTCTTTAGAGCTCTTTCCTAAACTAAACATTTGGTATTCACTCACAACATTCACTACTGATGAACATTGAGGACATTAAAGACTGGCCTACACCTGAGGGCAATATTGTAGAAATGTAAAGGTAGCTTATAAAGAAAATGTATGGAGTTTCTACTTAGAAGGCTGACTGGAAGCATTAAAGGCATCTTACAAAGGGAGAACATACGTGAGTGCTTGGCATGGAAAGAGCATAAATGAGTACAATAAAAACACTGCTAACTTATTAAAATGTGTTAAAAAAACATTTGTCTTGCTTTAATTGCCTTGTCTTTCACTGCCAAGATTTCTGCTTCATTATGAACATAGGAGGTTTAAAAGATAAAATGAGCCAAGCCCTTGTAGATCTGTTGTTTATAGTAAGTAAAAGAAGTGCCGTATGTTTTGCTAGCACTAGCAGCTGTTTAGTGCGTAGGCATTGTCAGATCACTGCTACTTCTGATAAGGAAGAAAAACTAGGATGGTGTGAGTCCCCCACCCCCAGCTGCACTTTGGGGTCATATTTGGTGCTTCAGATTTGGTCCCTGTTTGGTTTGGATTATTTGAGGGTAGGAGGCGACCCTTAATCCAAAGCAATATTCAGAAAACTGAAGCTTTGGTCCTCCTATTGGCTTTGCATTAGGAAATCAAAATGGCAGAAGTCAGAAAAAAGAAAGAAAGAGACTGCAGTATTCCGATTGGGCACAATCTTGCTACAGTTAAATCTATTGGCTTAGAGGCAAGACTGTTGCATAAGGATGATTCATATTACTTACTTTCTTAGTTTTACTCTCTTTGTATCCAGTACCTTTCTATGTAAACATTGTTATCCTTGCGCCACTTTTCCAACTGGTGAGAAGTTCCAGCAACTTACCTAGGTTTGTTTTCCAATGGAAGGAGGTAATGGAAGGTTTAAAGGCATTTCATAATTATCTACAAATATGCAAGATGAGCATAGATTTGAATTCATAACAGAACAGACAGCCAAATCCACTACGTAGCAGATCTCTAGGGACAGCCATGCATACCCTGCAACAGCTACCTTACAGACTGCCCCCAACTACACAGCTGTCTCAAAAGCTGTCTGATGGGAATCACATCAAAGTGACTGCTAACCTGGTTGAAAGCCACCATAAAAAAATAATATCAAAGATTCATTTATTTACCACTTTCTTTTACTAAAGGTGTTCCTAGATTCCTTCCAAGCAGTTTCCAAAACATTCAGTTGTAATCTAGGGTCTGGAAACCAAGCCTTATGAGGAATGGTTGAGAGAAATGGGTATGTATAGTCTGGTAAAAAGGAGTCTGAGTGGAGAAATGATAGCCATCTTCAAAGGGCTTTCACATGGAGGATGAAGCAAACTTGTTTTCTGCTGCTCTGGAGGTGAGGACCCAACACAATGGCTTCAAGTTACAAAGAAAGGGGATTCTAGCCAAACACCAGGAAGAACTTTCAGATGGTGAGGCCTGTTTGGGCAGTGGAACAGATTTCCATGAGGTGGTAGACTTCCCTTCCTTGGAGGTTTTTAAGCAGAGGTTGGATGGCCATCTGCATGGATGATTTAATCGAGATTCCTGCATTGCAGGGGGCTGGAATAGATAACCCTTGGGGTACCTCCCAACTCTCCAATTCATTGATTCTGTGATGCTATAATCAGTTCTAAGTACATAAATAACACAGTTAAATCTTACCAGATCACCAGTGTACTAACAAACTTATAAACCAGAATCCATTTATGTTCAGATGCAGCAATCAAAAATCAAAAGCCTACTGATGCTTCTTTATTTCAACTGGTCCACTTTGCGTTGAACTTTCATTAGATACGGCCTACAATTCCGGTTCAAAAGAATCTGAAATTTCAGTTGTTATTCCATGATCCACTAGAGAGCGCTGCCTATCAAAAATGCTAACTGTCCAAATGTAAGGTGTCTTCTGAAGCATCACATTTCCAAAGAACTATTCAGCAAACAGATTATACTTAAACAGGTTATATTATTACTAACATCTTGACTGATGGGGGAATCATTTTTAAACCAGGAGGAGACCTAACCCAGCAGCCCACGCACCTGATGCTTCTGTTCCTACCACCCACCACCTTGGTATGTAGGTTTTTATTCTCTTTACTAGAAACAGCGCTTACCAAAGAGGACCTCTCTGTTTACTGAAAATCTGAGATACACTGTGATTCATGGGCTAAAATTGACAGAGGTAGGGAATGACATTAAGAAATCTAGACTTATGCAGTACTTTCATATCAGAACACTTTGTTAATTCTCCTTTCATTAGACCTGTATTTCTCCTAAGGCAAAAGTGCAGGGCAAGTCGAAGGCTGCATAGCCAAGTGTCTTGATGGTGAGAGCAGAGCATAATCAGGGGTCAACTCTGAGCCTGTTTTCAGTGTCAAGGTGCAGCCACAGAATCCAGGAAGTAGCATATGAACTAGGACTGCAAGCCCAAACTGATGAATCAGTTGAAGCATTGTTGTGTTGTGCAATTAAAACTTAACTTAGTGATGTCACAGTGCTGTGAAGGGGAGAAACTTAGTATCAACCTGTGCACTTCCTTAATCAGATTTATAATTTATTAATAGTGCAATCCTATGCGTGTTTACTTTGGGTGGGATGCTACTTTGCGCTTGGGTGCCAGCCTCAGACATATTGCTGCCTTAGGCAAGGACAAGATGCCACTCCACATTCCACACACAGAAGCCAACTGGGCTTACAGTGGAATCATTCATCAACATAGTGTCCTCCACTGCCCCTGAGGGTGGCAGGGTAGTTATGCAGGTAGAAGACAGGCCAATCAGCTCTGTTCTCTGCCAGAGGCAGGCTTAGGAGCTGCTGGAAGGTTGCCACAACTGCCCCAGCATCTACTACCTGAGGCAGTTGCCTCATTCTGCCTAATGCTAGGACTGGCTCTAGACTTGTGTGTGTGTTTAAGACTGCAGCCTGAAAGGATACTGGTGTTTCTGATTACAAGCCAGATCAAGTATTATCTTCCACTTATTCAAGTTAGCATTGTATCTCTTGCCTGTGCAAACAAGACCTGACTGTCAACAGTTTACACTTTCTCTGGAAAACATTTGTTTCTTTCCTTCCTTCCTTCCTTTTAAATGATCTGCAAGACAGCTGCTATATAACAAGATTTTTAAAGCACACAATAAAACAGGCATAGAAACAATGGAGCAGCTGAGTAGAACTAATAAACTAATCACAAGCTTTAAATTTGGGATGAGAGGAGCTCCCCTGTTTTGTTCCTTTTATTGTTTCATCCATTCTCTCTGCGCCATGTGCTTTCCACTAAAAGGGACGTGGTTGGCACTGTA